TTTTTTAGAGACATAACTCCGATGATATTAGACCAGACGTATACTAACCTGAAGACACAGGTTATAAAGGCAGAGCGGCGTGTGCTTAAAGAATTAGGATTCTGTGTGCATGTAAAGCACCCGCACAAATTAATTGTCATGTATTTGCAAGTAATGAAATATGAAAAGCACGAAAAGCTTATGCAAATGTCATGGAATTTTATGAATGACTCTCTGCGTACGGACGTTTTCATGCGCTATCAGCCCGAAACTATAGCTTGTGCTTGCATCTATTTGAGTGCACGGAAACTGGGAATACCCTTACCGAATAACCCTCCATGGTTCGGAATATTTCGGGTGAGCGAAGATCACATAGTTGATATCTGTTATCGAATCACGGAATTGTACATGCGCGCTAAGGTATGAAATAATATAAACTAAATATCACAACACTAAAAATTTTTAAAATATTTTACAGCCAAATGTTGAAAAGATGGACGCTGCTGTTGAGGAACTAAAGAAACGTTATATGGAGTCTCGCAACAAAAACAAAGAGCAAAATACACCTCCAGCAGTTACCACTGTAGATCGTAATAATGGTTCACATAATGCATGGGGTGGTTTTATACAACGGGCAATTCCGTTACCGCTGCCAACTGATAGTAAATCACCTGATAAGGATTCGCGATCCCGCTCGCGTTCACGTGGTTCGCGTTCACCTAAATTTACATCGCGTTCACGCAGCCGCTCTCGTTCCGCTTCCACTGGCACAGTTGAGTACAAAAGCCGCAACAAAAAATCACATAGGTCTCGCAGTCGATCTCGAACTCCTCCAGTTACTAAAAATAAGAAAAAGTCCAGGCACTACTCGCGCTCGCCCTCAAGTTCACCACACGCGAAACATCGGAAAAGGTAAAGATCTAAACAACTTTTTAGTCTATGTAATTGTATGCAAGATACATCTGCCTTCTTTAATTTCAGGAAATCATCTAGGGAACATGACCGCAACGATTATTATTCCAGCAAGGAACGAATGAGTAGTAGTGATAAATATCGAGATCGCGAGAAGTATCAGGATTATAAGGAGTCAAGCAAACACCATCACAATTATTCCAGCAAACATCACCATGGATATTCGAATCGCGGCTCTTTACATCATGGTGGCCATAAACACCGTTCAAGTGACCACGAACGCTCTCGCGATCGTAAAAGGTAAAATGATTTTGAGAAATTTGCGAAGTCAACTAATTAATTAATCATAAAATTGCATAAATGCCGATTATTCAGAGGACTAAATATAATTTTCTTATCTCTACTTTTGTGCGATTGATAGTATATGTAGTTATAAAGAATGTATGTTGCATCCAAGAATAATAATAAACAATCCCACTTGTCGGCGATATGTGATATATATTACAAAGTTTTATTGTGTTTCACCTGCGTGTAATAAAATCTTGCAATCAATTTTTAAGGCCGATTGTCAATGTCTGGTTATCACTACCACCACACTATCTACGATTTCGACATCATGCAGTCGTTGTACTTAACCGGAGCTTCTACCTCCGATTTGTGATAATCAGACATTGAACAACCGGCCCTTAACCAACTTCCCGTTGAGCTAGAGACTTGAAACATCAAACTTAGCTCAGAACTCGATGACAATGCAATGTGATGCACAAATTAATTTTTTAGGTGGCGCAGATGTCGAGGTATTTGAAACAGCCGTATTTATAGTCAGATAGTTTTAGTGGGCTTATTTTATAGGATTTAAAATTGCATGGTTAGCAGTCGGCAAACAATATTGAATCAGAGTTGTGGGTGGTAATACGTACATATATTTAATACTTTTTATGTAATGCATATATGAGGAAGTGCTTTAAATTTTGAGTACAATAGGAATTTTACTATCACTAAATATATTTAAAAAAAAATCGACTTTTCGCCATTTTTCGAGAATATAAAACCAACACCGCACTTGGGATGCATTTGGCAAATTATTTTATGGTATTTGAGACATACCATACAAGGTTTGAAAAAAATCCACTCGCTGCCGCTGGTTTTGAGTTATTTTAAAACAACTTTCAAATTGGCTCATATTTGAAATAAGTATTAGTAATTGCTTGCGAGTTCATATACTATAAACTGTTAACTCAATCTTTCAATTTATTGAAACGTTTATGTGTCTCACTAACATTAGTGATGGATTTTTTTTGCACTATACCTACATATGTATGAAAAAAATTTTTCTTTTTTATTTCACTATCACTATTGTACCGTCAGGCTGATATACGATTTACCAGTACACATCCATAGTGTTGAACATTTTTGCAATATCACTTAGTAGGAGCGTTCCTTATCTCCCAGAAATAGTCAGAAAAAGTCCGAAGTAGTCAGATTTAGTCCAAAAAGCGTTCCTTAACTCGGAAATGACAGCAAAAATGAGAGAGCAACAGTCAGTGAGAGTGACTCTCATCAGTCCGAAGTAGTCAGATTTAGTCAGAAGAATTTTTTCTGGCAAAATCCTGAAAAGTGTCAAACTCAACTGAATTTAAATTAACGGAAATTAAAGAATACGCTAAAAGTGAGAATAATCTAAAAAGTAAAAGAAATGAATTGAAATTGGAAGGAGGCAAAAAATAATTGATATAGCAAGTGTTTATTGTGCTTGTGCTTGTGTGAATGTGTTTTGTACATACATTTCTGTTCTTATTTGACGTTAGTTTTGTTGTTGCCATTCTTTGGACTAAAAATTTGGTTTTTTGCGTTCCTTTACTTTTCCTGTTATTCTCTTTTAGTGAGCGCATTTTGCTTACGCTCTGGCATTTTGACAATTTTCAGATTTTAGTCCAAAAAGATAAGGAATGAACCTAGTATTGGGCAGTATCGATACCAAAAGTACTCGGAACTCGATTATCAAAAGTATCGACAGTACCCGATTTTTAAAAGTATCGATACTGAGTACCCCACAGTACTCAGAACTCACAAAGGAACTCGAGTACTCAGAACTTAAAAGGCGCCGAATGTACTCAGCACCCAAAAATACTCTTTTTCCTATCATTATTTTGAAACATGTACTCAGGATTGATTCAAAGGGCTAAGTATTAGTACGTTAAGTGTCGAATAGATTGTTAAAAGTACTGAGTTCTTTGTAAATTTACCGGTATTCAGCAATGTTTGTATGTACTCAATTTCAAGTTTCAAAAATCTTAAGAGTACAAAAGTTATACCCAGTACAGTAAGCCATTCATTTGACGTAATTTGGGATGAATATACTGATTAGAATAAAGTGCAGCCAACTTGGAAGATTTTGCACTAACCATAGAAATATTATCAGCATGTGTATATTTAAAGAAAGTAGTCAGTATTCTCAAAAATACCCGATCCTTAAAAGTATCGATACCAAAGAACCCGATCCTCAATAGTACTCGATACTTCCCAACACTACCATCACTAGCTATTAATGTAAACTGCCCTGCAAAAATCGCGACTACTCCATGCATGCGTGTAAAGAGTTCTACCTTAGGACCAACGAGTACTCCAAAATTAACCACAATTCATATAAAAAATATGGTCCAATTAACATTGCGATGTCCTAGGGAAGGCCCATATACTCCATTACCGCATTACATCAGAGTAGCACAAAACTACTCCAACATATTAACAATGGCATTATTGCTATAATTTTTCCTTTGTACACGCTTTTGTTTTTCACTTCTCAAATACTTTTTCGAAATTAATAAAAACCAAGACAAAAATTAAAAATTATACGTTGCCTCTGACGGTATTCGAACCCGAACATGCTGGGAGCTAAGAACTACCCTGCAAAAATCGCGACTACTCCATGCATGCATGTAAGGAGTACTCCCGAAGGACCAAGGAGTACTCCAAAATTAACCACAATTCATATAAAAAATATGGCCCAATTAACATTGCGATGTCCTAGGGCAGGACCATATACTCCATCCTGCATTACATCAGAGTAGCACAAAACTACTCCCAACATACTCCAATGACATTGTCGTTATATTTTTTCGTTTGTACGCGCTTTTGTTCTTCACTTCGCATATGCTTTTTTTGAAATTAATAAAAACCAAAGACAAAAATTAAAAATTAAATGTTGCCTCTGACGACATTCGAACCCGAACATGCTGGGAGCTAAGAACTAACAGCTAGCATCTCTACACGTTCAGCTACAGCCAGACATGCAAATGTACTTTGAAATGCTTAACTTCAATCACATTTCGTTAAAACACGAGCAGTGATCGGATAACAAACAATGAGCTAGCGCAGAGACACCAGTTGGCCGCTACAGCATGACAGAGGAACACTTTTGTAAGTACTCCAATTTACCACAAATAGACTACATGATCCAACGATTTTTGCAGGGTGATACCATGAACGAAAGACACAAGATCACGCCTTAAGGAAAGAAAGAAAAAAGTTATTTTCTAGCTGTTGAAATCTCGACGCCATCTTTGTTGTAAGAAGTAAACAACGAAGAGAACAAAAAAAAACGCGTAATTGTTGAACGCATGAATAATCATTTTTATTATGCAAATTCTCCTATAAATCATGTCGTTGTGTTAAATTATTCTTTACCTTATGTGTGCACACGTTGTCACAAGCGAAAATTAAGAAAATTGCAGTAAAAAGCCACCACCAAATTGTAAACAACGAACAAATGTAAACAAACGAGCTTATGTCAAAATCGCCCTACTTTTTTCATAAGTGCGATTATAACGGGCCACTCTTCTGCTGTCGTGATCTTGTCTTTTTGGTTCATGGGGTGATACCCCAACGCTTTATTGAATACATTAGCATTTTTACCAACACAACGACATGATTTATAGGAGAATTTGCATAATAAAAATGATTATTCATGCGTTCAACAATTACGCGTTTTTTTTTGTTCTCTTCGTTGTTTACTTCTTACAACAAAGATGGCGTCGAGATTTCAACAGCTAGAAAATAACTTTTTTCTTTCTTTCCTTAAGGCGTGATCTTGTGTCTTTCGTTCATGGGGTACATGGATATCGCGATGGTTCTGTAATTTCTGCAGAATGACACTAAACCCAAATGTCAAAATAAGGCTAAAAAGAAACTTAAGAAAAACAGTGGGGTCTTAACAGCAGAAAATATAGATTTCTTGAAATATCCAAGTTATGGCCGATATTCTTCAAATAGATGGTAGCTACTTGGAAGGCGGTGGCCAAATCCTACGTAATGCACTCAGTTTGAGCTGTATCCTTTGTCGGCCAATAAGAGTCTTCAATATACGTGCCAATCGCCCCAACCCGGGACTTTCAAATCAACATTTATTTGGTTTGAATCTTTTGCAAAATATCACTGGAGCTCGTGTTCATGGTAACCACATGAAATCAACTGAAGTGGAGTTTCATCCTGGAGATATCAAATCTGGACGATACACGGTAGACACTCGGACGGCTGCAAGCGTGGCACTGGTACTGCAAGCTGCATTGCCTGTGCTGATATTTGGTCGCAACACAACCGAATTGGAGCTTATAGGAGGCACAAATGTAGGCATGGCGCCCCAGGTTGATACTATGACTGAAGTGCTACGTCCTAATTTGGAACTGTTTGGCGTTTCATTTGATTTCGATCTGATTCAGCGTGGATACTACCCTCGCGGTGGCGGACGATGTAAAGTTATAGTACCTTGTGTACGTAATATAAAAGCAGTTACCTTAACTCAATTTGGAACAATAAGCGAAGTGTGTGGTTGGTGCTTTGTAGCAGGTAAATTACCAATGCGTATAGCAGAAGACATGAAAAATGCCGCAGAAAAGGAGTTGAAAACTGTTTGCCATATTCAACCTCAATTTGATGCTTACAAAGAAAGTTTGGAGATAGCACGTGATAATGGTTCTGGCGTAATACTAAAGGCTGTTACAACAGAAGGATGTACACTTGGCTCTTCTGCTTTGGGTGAGCGACAAGTGGATGGTTATGCTCTGGGCAAGACAGCGTCAAAAGAGTTAGCAAGTTATTTGAAAGACAGCGTTTGCGTCGACTCTCATGTACAAGACCAGTTAGTCATATTTATGGCGCTTGCACATGGTACATCCAAAATACTGACCACTGCACTCACCCAACATACACGTACTGCAATTCATGTAGCAGAGCTGATGACTGGAGCGAAGTTCAATACTGAAGAAGTGGATAAAATCGGTAACGTTATACTATCTTGTGAAGGCATTGGATATCAAAATAAACAAATATAATGTACTAAGTATAATATTAAATATTTACTTTTAAAAACAGTAAATACTGCATTGAAGCAGTAGTTTGTAGTATTCTCTTAGCCTAAAGTCGTCGGAAAATTGCCAAAAAATGAGCACCTTTGTTTCGAACTACTTTAGCACCCTCCTCGCTGCTCTGGTACAATTTCGACGTAATCGGGTCAGAGATCTAGAAATAACAATTGAAAAAACGTATTGTGCTATATAGCTTGCTTTTGAGCCAACCTCTTCCTCATTCGTTAGGCGTTCGAAAAGAGGGTGTTGCAGCATATGCTGAACGATCCATTTGTGAAGATCTTCAACATCAGTCATTGTGTAAACCAGTCCTTCTTTCCGTAGCACATAAGCGTATTCCGATAGAAGAGCTTGGTTTATGATGCGCCACTTGTGTTTGGCACGCTTAAAATGTGGGTCAGGATACAGAAAGAACATCTTATCTAATTGTGCCTTGCGGAAATAGTTCGGTAAGTACTTCATGGCATTAGTACGCAGACAGGCAATGTTGTTATATTTCCCCGGATGAAGAATACGCAGCGCTTTGATGCGATCCATGACATAGTCTGAGACTTTCACGCGTATTTCAAGACCTATTGCCAACCTGTCCGGAAACATTTCTCCTAGTGTGACAAGAAACCCACCATACCCACAGCCTATGTCTGCGAACTCTACGCATTGGCCTTCTGTTAAATTTGGGTACAATTCCTGCCAGTTCACATCATTGGGATGAGCTGGGCTATGACAAAACAACGAATGTAAAAAGCTAGCGTTAGTTTACGGAAAATATAAGGCCTTTTTTACTCTCTTACTAGTCGAAACAGTGATCAGCAATTGGATTTGAATGTGCCCTCTGGCGATAATACCGCTTTTGTGGTAATGATATGCCGCTTTCAGGATCCTGCAGCATTTCCATCTTTCCTTATTAGATTGCTGCAAACCCGGTGTTTAATTCATAAACAAAAAGCGTGTTCCGTGTTAAATCGGCGTTTCAATTTGCACGTCAATTTTTGACAGCTGCGATCTGAATCACAAACATAAACAAAGGCACGTGTAATCACAGGCGAATCAAGTTCCATATTACCAAATAATCGAAGTTTTCAGTTAACAAAATATCAATGGCGGAATTAATAGAGGTACTTTTTACCAGTGATTCCAATGAGAATCGAGCATCCATTACTGCGTGGGACTACAGAACAGGAACCAATTTAATGGTGTACAAGGGAGGTGGCGTCGTCCAACAACGGGCCATTTCTTTATTGAGGGGCCACTATGTCGTTGCTGCAAATAGCACCAAGCCTCTTCTGCACGTTTGGCCTTTTAATTCACAACAGCAAGTGACCCATGTACGCTTCGTGTTGCCTGGTCGGGCCAACGCAATGTCACTTTCACCTGATACTCATTATCTTGTGGCAGCAATTCAGGAAAACATCTACATTTGGCACTTGTCGTCAGGAAAGATGCTGAACACAATTTCAAAGCATTTTCAACCCATCAACTGTATACGGTTTGACGAGGACTCGCATTTTGTTACAGCTGGCCAAGACGGATCCGTCATGGTGTGGAACTTGACGACTGTGTGTGCGCGAGATGACGACAATCAAACACCAGTGTATACTTTCACTGATCATGGTCTTCCTGTAACAGACGTGCACATTGGATTTGGTGGCATACGAGCGCATATGATGACAGTTTCGCTGGATCGTACATGCAAATTATATGATTTACTTACTGGTATACAGCTTTTAAATGTCGTTTTTGCGGAAGCATTACACAGCGTAGTAGCAAACACTTTAGAAACGGATGTATATGTAGGAACTGCTGAAGGCAATATATATCAGTTTAGTATCGATGGAGGTCCTTCCAAGGTAATATGAGCTACGTAATTACCCTGCATTTTTTCCCCGAAACTAAAGCTTTTCTTCTTAGGAACTCAATGTTGAAAAGGAGCATTCAAATATTTTTAAAGGACATAAACAGGGCACCGCAGTTACCTGTTTGGCAATTTCAATCGACGCTCGATCATTGATCTCTGGTGGACAGGACGAACAAGTGTGCATTTGGGATATTGGCAGTCGCCAACTCTTAAGAACTATACAACATAAGGGCCCTGTAATGAATGTAAGACTTCGTCTTTCAAATCCACATATATTTAAACCAGAGAATAAACCACCGCGAAAATTCTCTAAAAACTTGCGACGCATGCTTGATCCGCCTGAGGCTAGCGATGACGAGGAAATCGAAGTTTTTGTAACTAAAGCAAATGCGAATACAGATTACGATTGGTATCCTATGCCGAAATATCCATTTGATAATCGTCAAAATCCATCTACATCGGCGGCATCTACGACAACTGCCAAGAACAGTTCAGGTGCCGCAGTTAAAACTACGGATGAAGAGGCGGCAAAGGAAATCGAAAGATTGCGAGCAGAAGTTCAACATCTAAAGCTTGTCAATAAACAACTATTTGAAGTTTCTACAAAACAGTTACTGGAATCGAAGAAATAGCTGTATGCTTTGTACTGATTCTATTATTGATTACACGAATAAATTTAAGTTAATTAATTAAACAAAAGCAAAAAAATATAAGCAAGGATTTCACGCCTCTAATACTTTTGTATGTATAACATTTCATTCGTCAGTTGATTCAGGGACTCTTAGTCTGCGGTATTGGTTTTCTCGTCTGCAATGACATTCTCAGCTTTATTAATGAGATTAACAGCTGCCAAAGCCGCTATAGTATCTTTTTCTTTATCTTGGGCTATTTGCTGTCGAATCTCTCGATTAGAATCGAGCAATACCTTAAGCTGTGCAATGATGTCGTCAGTTCGTTGTTCAAAAAAGTCCAAAGCTCGAGTCAACTCATCGAGGCTCTCGTTAACATCCTCTACTTCTGGAATATTAATTTATTGATTTCAATAACATGATTTTTTAAATGACTTATATACCTTGCAGATCAGACTCGTCTGCCTTCGTGGAGGAATTGGCGTCCACAGGGTCGTCGATATTTTTGGGAGTCATTCTAAATGGTTTGTTGCTGCTTGGTCAGCTGACTTTTTCATTTCCTTTTACCAAGTTTTTTTGTTTTGTCTGATCTGAAAAGCTTTTTTGTTTTATTTTCACTTTTCGTCAGTACAAATGTTTAGTTATGTGCTGAATTGTCGGTACCCAATACTTGGTGCCCAATACTTGAAAAAAAATTCGGTACCCAATACTTTCCTTTCGCTAAGACTGCTTTTACACAGTTCGACTATTGAATTCAATTCTGCTCGCATGTTGAAGAGAGGGGGTGAGAAGAAAAGGGACGTCTAATTCATACTAATTCACTCATATAGAAAGTATTCTTCATGAATGCATACAACCGATTTCTACTGGGTACCGCTACTTTCGTTTTGCCGATTTTGTGTTGTTGTGGTAACTTGTAAATAAACCTTTGTTTACAAATTACGGCAAAGAGAAAGTTGAATTATAGGTAAAAATACGGGGGAAACTTTCTATTATGGCCGTTCGTTAAAGGTGCGGTGGGCGTAGGAGGAGTGGGCGTGGCACCTCCAACCGACCGTTTTGGAGAGGGCATGAACCGCCATTGACTAAAATACAATCCTTACCACCTAGGCCCTCTATGGTTCCCTACGGACCCCTTAGAAAAATGGCGAAAAATCGCAATTTTTACTTGCGTCCGCAGTATTTTTGTGTACCCTGCAAAAATCGCGAATACTCCATTCATGCGTGTAAAGAGTACTCCCTAAGGACCAAAGAGTATTCCAAAATTAACCACAATTCATATAAAAAATATGGTCCAATTAACATTGCGATGTCCTAGGGCAGGACCATATACTCCATCCCTGCATTACATCAGAGTAGCACAAAACTACTCCAACATATTAACAATGGCATTGTTGTTATATTTTTTCGTTTGTACACGCTTTTGTTCTTCACTTCTCAAATGCTTTTTCGAAATTAATAAAAACCAAGACAAAAATTAAAAATTACATGTTGCCTCTGACGGCATTCGAACCCGAACATGCTGGGAGCTAAGAACTAACAGCGAGCATCTCTACACGTTCAGCTACAGCCAGACATGCAAATGTGCTTTCAAATGCTCAACTTCAATCACATTTCGTTAAAACACGAGCAGTGATCGGATAACAAACAATAAGCTGGCGCAGAGACACGAGTTGGTCCGCTACAGCATGACAGAGGAAAACTTTTGTAAGTACTCCAATTTACCACAAATGGACTACATGGTCCAACGATTTTTGCAGGGTAGAATTCCTTTCTGCGTAGGCGGCCTACGGCCGCGCTTAGGGATTATAACCCTTACTACGTAGAATTCTCCTTACTGTGTGACCTAACTGTGATGTAACCTTGGGAAAGGATGAGGTAACTAGAATTCCCTTTCTGTGTGGAAAACCTGGGGCTGCCGCCCAGTGATGTTTATTTTGGTTACTGGGTGTTTTATAAAAATGTCTTGTATAGGGATGTTCCGATACAAGTAAATACGAGTACGTACTCGATACTTTTGTTTCGATACCAACTACTTTTTTTATTTATTCGAATCGTTGTTTCGATTCGTACTTGGTATCGAAAGAAAAGTACTTGTATCGAATCGATTTGAGAAAGTGTCATATCTTGTCTGCGTCGTTTTTATGAAAAATAATTGTTTTAAGCAATGACACCGCCAAAATCTAAAGTATGGATATATTTTTACAAAATTACTGATACTACAGCAAAGTGCAAGGAATGCTTTAAAACCGTAAAGTTTTGTGGGAACCTTTCAAAGGTTGAAATTGTTGGAGAAAGTCGAAGCAAAGGTGGAAGGTCGCCTCCGTGATTTGCAGATGAATCGTCCAGCTACTTCGCCAAGTGCTCCCAAGGTAAAGACTCCATCCTTTGACGGCACGATTCCTTTCCAAGTAATCATAGTCAACTTATGTACAGTAGTCGAAAAAAATTATAGCCTCACCAAATTTTGAAAAGTTTCAAAATATTATTTTTGTTGTTATTTAATTTTAGTTAGTTTTTTATAATTCATTCTTTACCAACATCCGTATGAATACAGCACAACTTTATACAAGTTTAAAGGCCGTTCCCACGACAGTCGGGTCTACGTAACCGGAACGACCCAGATTTATATCTGGCCAAGGACTGTCACTCCAGCAACACTCCCCAAAATGTCTTTGGGGAATTTGTATGCTGCTACAACAACAACAACAAGTTTAAAGGCAGTGTCACACGATTAGGAATATGCCGAAATTTAGTGCAAATAGTATCCCAATTGTGTGAATACGCAAATATTTTTCTTTATCCAAATCACGAAAATTAATTCGTTTAAATTTTTCAATACAAGATTGCGGTATTGTACCTCGCTTTTGACTAAAAAAAGATTGTCTAAATTTTTTTACATTGTACCAATATAAAAATGTACACATCTGTGCAAATGTACCAATCGAGAGACACGGTCTTAAAAATTTATAAGTAAAAAAAAATTCAACTAATTCTCGTAAAAATTTCTAGTTTTTAATTAGAATTCTAGTATCCTTAAATTTCGAAATATTGACGTTTCAAGCATTTCTAAAATTTACCGTTATATTAAAAGCCGTAATTTTAGTCCAAAATTTTGAACGTTTTGATTTTATGTGGCAAGCACAATAACGATACCGAGTTTGGTACAAATTGGTAGAACGGTTACCAAGATACATATANATTGCTTTTTAAAAATGCTATTTATAAAATTTGGTTTTGATTGCGACATTAGAAATATTCAGATTATAAAAGTTTTTCACATATGTTTTAAGATTTTAAAGCTTTTAAAATGTACGGTAGAATGCAACAATGTGCTTGAATTTGTTTGCTCTTCGTCAGCTTATTCGTTTGCAGACTAGAAAAATGGCGAACTNTTGTTTGCTTCTTCGTCAGCTTATTCGTTTGCAGACTAGAAAAATGGCGAACAGCCATCAAAATACTGATTCAAAATACACACAAATGGGTGCGCGCAGCAAAATTCAGCCCTAATGGTAAGTTCATTTCATCGTGCGGCGACAAGTTAAGAATTTGCGATACATTTTCAGGCGAATGTATGCGAACGTTCACCGGGGGAAGAGGTATGGGACGACAGCTTGCATGGCATCCAGACGGCAATCTGGTGGCCTTAGCATTAAGTTGTAACCGCGTTAAGATATTTGACAAAGTTGGAGGCGAGCTAATACAGTGCATTCGTCGCCGGAGGATGATGTTGCATTTCACCCAAGTGGAAATTTCTTGGTGACTGGCGGCGATGACGATACAATAAGATTGCTTGATTTATTAGAAGGTCGGCCAATTTATACACGGTAGTAGTGCACTTTAGCGGATCCATATAAAATACATTTTTTCCTGTATTCAACAGTTGCCCGTTTGGAAATCTAATTTGCATACATTTGATGCCAATAGC